GCAGAATGAGACTCCATCATGCCTGTCACATTTCACATTTACCTGGAATCCTGGTCAGTTTCATATTTCAATTGTGGCAAGGTCTTGTTGTGTATAAGCCACAGTAACAAATATTTACATAGAATGGAATAGAATAGAAAATATGGAATAAAAATAGAATAGAAAAGAATAGAATAAAAAATATGGAATGGAATTTAGAATAGAATAGAAAAGAAAAAAAGAATAGAAAATATGGAATGTAAATAGAATAGAACAGAATAGTATAAAAAATATGGAATTAGAATAACAATTGGAAGGGAACTTGGAGGTCTTTTAGTCTAACCTCGTACTCAGGTACGAAGGAAACCCTATACCATTGGTTGATATATAAATGGTTGTCCAATCTCTTCTTAAAAACCTCCAGTGTTAGAGAACTCACAACTTCTGGAGACAAAATATTCCATTGGTTAATTGTTCTCTCTATCAGGAAATTCCTCTTTCATTCTAGGTTGCTTCTGTCCTTGATTAGTTTCCATCCATTGCTTTTTGCCCTGCCTTCTGGTGCTTTGGGGAATAGCTTGACTCCCTCTTCTTTGGGGCAGCCCCTGAGATTTTGGAAGACTGCTATCATGTCACCCCTAGTCCTTCTTTTCATCAGATTAGACATACCCAATTCCAGCAACTATTCTTTATATGTTTTAACCTCCAGTCCCCTAATCATCTAAAATGGGAAAGCAGAATGGATGCCCCGAAATTGCCAGCCTACAATTGAAACAGAGCGATGAATGTTCCTTGCTTCTAAAATTTGTCAAGCAGGAGGTCAAAGCAATTCTTGGGGGGGAGTGGAAATGATTATAGCACCACGGTTTAAATTTGGATAATTTTTCCCCTTCTTCTTATGGACCAAAATGTTTTCTTAACTCAGGGTTATCTTATTGTAGGTGACGCATTACAAGCAATATCCACCCAACACAAGCAAAGTTTATTCCTACTTTGAATGTCGTGAAAAGAAGACGGAGAACTCCAAATTAAGGAAGGTCAAATATGAGGAAACTGTTTTTTATGGATTGCAGTACACACTTATTAAATACTTACAAGGTATTTTTTTCCCCACCCTCCTATATTTTCAAATGCCGCCTTTCCATATTATCATCGTTATTCCCTATTGTCATTTCTCTGCTGAAATAAGAATAATTTTTGAAATGTCCTAGGTTGGGTTTGTATCAAGGATAAATTCATAAAAGAATTCTCGAATTGTCCTTGAATATGTGCTGCCCTTGTTTTATCCTGAATTAATTGCTTAGATAAACATAAGATCTGGACTCAATTATGCCTTAGCTTTTTCATGTTTATTCATTCTTCTAATAGCAGTTCCAAAAAGTTGAGGAAGAAGCTTATTCCAGGTCTTCTAAAAAAGGCTCTTAAGCAGATATATTAAACTTCCATACTTGCAATACATACTTTCTGTGTTTATGTTACATCATTATATTGTAGAAATAGTCCTTGACTTACAACAGTTCGTTCAGTGGCTGTTCAAAGTTCCAACAGCACTGAAGAATGGGACTTAACGACCATTTTTCACACTTGCAACCGATGGCATCATCATCCCCCCACGATTACTCGGTTAATGAGCCCAGAACTTATGTTGTTAAATGAGACATTTGTTAAGTGAGCTTTACCCCATTTTACGATCTTTCTTACCACATTTGTTAAATGAATAGTTGCAATTGTTAACACGGTCGTTACGTGAAATCTGGCTTCCCCATTGATTTTAATTGGTTGCAAAAAGGGGATCACATGACCTTCTGGGACATTGCAACCGTCATAAATGTGAACCGATTGTCAAGCACCTGAATTTTGATCAAGTAATCAGAAATTCATAATCCAAAGGCAGATTGAATTAGAAAGCCCAAGGTCCAGAAGTTTAGACACTAGTCTATGTGGAAGAATTGTGTTAAACGCAGAACTAAAATCCACAAAAATAGCAAGATCTTAAGCAATAGAAATGAAGAACAGCTTTGCACTCTCTTAGGAAATGTTTCACTGGAATCTGCATGCCACGTGTGATCTCCCCCCCCCCCCAAGGGTGCCAAGTGCATTTATCTGTGAAGCTGGCCTTAAATACACGTGGTCCTCTTTTTGCGACCTTCTGATAAGCAAAATCAATGAAGCCAGGTTCACTTAACAGCTGTGTTACTAATTTAACAACTGCGGTAATTCACTTTACAACTGTGGCAAGGAAGGTCGTAAAAAAGTGGATGAATACAATTCTCTGTTTTCTAAAAGGTATATGTGGCTTCCTAATTTATCTCTCCAAAAACAGCAGTATCAGAAGTAATAATATTTTTTTAATTTTAAAAATACTTTATTGAAGTTCAAAATATTAAAAAGTTTACAAAAATTCAAAATATTAAAAAAATTTACAAAAATTTCTATCATAGAAGATGTGTCAGTATCTTTCAGAATCATTTTTTGACAGTACAATACGTACAATTAATACTTGACAGTTATTCATAGTATTGGTAATACTACTTCACAGTGCCTTAATATTATTGGTAAAAAGTGATTCATGTATATAGGTCATTGGTTCAGAAGAGAAAAATGCCATATTAACACTTAAGTACATATATATATATATCTAAAAAGAGAAAAATCAGAAGTAAATCTACATAATTATAGTCTTCAGTAATAATATTTTTTGATATATTATTTAATTTTAAAATACACACACATAAACACTGTATTGTCAAACCAACTTGCAGAATAGATAACTCAGTGCCTGAAACAGATTTTCTTTGAGTAGATAATACAGTTTGAATTGTTTCATAGGCAGAGTGGTAACCAAAGAGAAAATACAAATAGCCAAAGAAGTATACAAGGAACATTTTCAAGACGACGTCTTCAATGAAACGGGATGGAACTATATTCTTGAGGTAAAAACAAATTGAATCAATATTTGCATTTAGTAGAACGCTGCGTCCCGCTTTTAATAAGACAGTCTCTTATTAAAAAGAGTATAAAACTGCCAGAGGTTATCTTTCAATTAGATAGGGCTATGAGATGCTTATCATTATTATTATTATTATTATTATTATTATTATTATTATTATTATTAT